TGCAGTTTTGGCTCTTAGCGGTGACTACGGTGCTTCAGAATGTCGCTCAACGGTAAAAGTTCCGCTCAGCAGTGACTGCGGCTCTTCTTTTGTGCACTTTTACTTCCTTTCCTAAGTCCAGCTCCTTACTACTTCAACTTCTTTCATCTAATTCATCTTAATTCCTGCCAAAACAAGGAAAACCAAGCATAAAACCCATCCAACTCTCTTATTTCCAAAACTTAAGCAAAAGCATGATTCCAAGCTAGTTTCTAGGTCATAAAGGTTGTCTTTAAGGTCAAAATTAAGTATAAAAATAACGGTTTTTCAACCGTTATCACAGAGCCTCAGGCAGAGGTTGAGGCAAATGAGGAAGGAGACATTGATGTTTGTGTGGATGTAGAGGGTCAGGTAGAGGCAGAGGCTGAAGCAGAGGTTGAGGCAGTGGGTGATTTGGAGGCTGAGGTACAGGCTGAGGTATAGGGTGATGATTTTCAGGCACATTGTCGGGCAGATCCTCAAGCAGAGGTTGAGGCAAATAGGGAGGGAGAAATTGATGTTGGTGTGGATGTAGAGGGTCAGGTAGAGGCAGAGGTTGAAGCAGAGGTTGAGGTAGTGGTTGATGTAGAGGGTGAGGTAGAGGGTGATGGTTTTCAGGCACACTGTCAGGTAGAGCCTCAGGCGGAGGTTGAGGCAAAGGGGGAGGGAGACATGGATGTTGATGTCAATGTAGAGGGGCAGGGTGATGTACATGGGCAAGTAGAGGTAGAGGGTGATGGTATGGACGCACAGGGTCAGGCTGATGTAGAAGCTGATGAGTATGATGTTAGAAGTTGGAATGGGTCCGAAGAGGATGAGTTCACTGACCATGGAGATGAAGTGGAATTTGATATATTTGAAGCTACTAACCAATTGCAAATTGGTGGACCTAGGAGTTTATCTGAAAGTGATTGGGAATCTGACACTTTGAACAGTATTGTGGAAAGTGATAACATAGATGATGATGATAGAGATGGGTATGGGGATTTTGGGATTTTTCAATGCCCAAATGATGGAAGAACGATCCAGCTGATTATGAACTTCCTTTTATTGCAGCGGAAGAAGACAAATTATGATGATGATGATCGAAGGAAGCGGAGACTCTAGGAACCACTCTTCAATTTGTGTTCGGTGGCTGGATTGGTGTAGATTAGATGACTCGGTGATGAAGATAAGGTTGAAACAGATGATGACTGAATCGAACAGTGATTCAATGAAGAGAAACGGATGAAGCGGTGATGGAGAAAATGGAATGAGTGAAGAGTGCGGATGGTGGATAAATTTGCTAGGATTGGCAGCCTAGCTAGGGAGAGAGCTAGAGGAAACTCTCAAGCTCTCTCTCGGTGACCTTCAACAAGAAGAAAGTTCTGGACAGAATCAACAGAAAACAATTCTTCATTCAAATCAAAGGTCCTCATTACAAGCAATGGACCAAGGTATTTAAAGGAAATGAAACAAGCTCCTAGTTCACGCCTAACATTTTGAATGCTAGCTACGCAAGGGTGAAGAAACGTGATTGGCTACGTGGGCAACAAGCTAGCAGCACGTGGACAACAAGCTTGGTGTAGCTTCAACTGTTGAGCTCAAACCCTCATCCGTTGGGCGCTAGGATTCTTCAACTTCAACCAAGCTGCTTGTTCGAATATGTCTCATGTGGGCTTCCAAAGCAGCTTGCTAGACAGCTGGACAATGCCTTTATGCATCCAAGTGGAGATTCCAACATTCCTCCAAGTGAAGATTTGGCTTGCTTCTCCATTCTTGATGTTTCCTTGCTTCTTGATTTATCAAGCTTCTTGGCTAGTTGATCCATGATCTTCTAGCTTTATTAGACCCTACAAAACACATATAAACATATTAAAGAGAATCTTTCTAAGACTTAGAGAAAGAAAATCAAGAAAGAGCTTCTAAAAGTCCTTCTCCAACTTCCCTTTCTTAGCCTTAGTTTAAGTTGGTACTCACTCCTTTGAATGGAATTCCCTAAATGGGTTTCCATCACCAAAAGTATGGAACAATATAAATGAGAAGTGGACACGTACTTCCCTGGAAAAAAAGATTTTACAAAAGCTATAAGAACATATGGAGTAGAGAATGGTAGGAAATTAAAAGTTTATGAAAATGACAAAAGAAGAGTGTGTGTCAAATGTTCTAGGGCAAAAGGAAAATTTTCATGGTGTGCATATTGTGCATATAAGGAAGCAGAAAATACATGGCAGCTAAGGAAGATTATAGACAAGCACACATGCAGTAGAGAATTTAACATTTGTTTAATGACTTCAAAATGGTTAAGTGGGAGGTTAGAGAAGACCATAAAGGAGAATCCCAATATTAATTTGTATAACCTCCGAAACAAAGTTTCTAAGAAGTGGAACATTGGTGTTTCTCGGTCTACAACCTATAGGGCAAAAGCAATGGCTTTTAAACAAATAGAAGGTGATTTTAAAGAACAATATAAAAGAGTGTATGATTATGCAAATGAGTTGCTTCAGTCAAATCCTGGTTCAACTGTCAAAGTTCATGTTGAACCTAATGAGGACAGTCCAATATTCAAGAGACTATATGTCTGTTTGAAGGCCTGTAAGGACAACTTTGTTTCATGTAGGCCTATTATAGGTTTGGATGTGTGTTTCTTAAAAGGAAAATATGGAGGTGAGTTTTTAACTTCAGTTGCAAGAGATGGGAATGAGAAAATGTGTTATTTGGCATACGCTGTTGTGGAGGTGGTGAATAAGGACAGTTGGGCTTGGTTTTTACAATTGCTCATTGATTATCTTGGCAGTTGCAGAAAGTGGACTGTATCAGGAATCCCATGCTGTCAAGCACTAGCTGCCATGTCATTTTTGAACATCAATGGAGAAGAATACATCCCACATTGGTTTAGAAGGTCAACATATAAGAAACATACATTCCAATGATATGCCCTGTCAACGGTCCTCAACTATGGGAAATGACTTCTCATCATTATATGCCCTGTCAACAGTCACTGAATGCCAACTTCAACAAAGTCAGCCAAGTACAACAAGAGTTTAGAAGTTTTTAGAAGTCACTAAATGTTTAGGTCAAGTCTGTTACAGTCCAGCAGTATTGGATATTTTGTAAACTTTTATGTAAGTTGAACTTCATTTTGAATCCTGGTTCAGTATGAATTCTGCCATGAACAAGAATGTTGTACATTTCAATTATTTCAATCTGAATTTGAATTCTAGTTTCTGTTTTGAATGTTCATTTAAAGTCCACATTTAATGAGTTATAATCATGATGAGTTCTTTGATGACTTGAAATGATGTATAATGAAAAGAGTATAGAAGGATCATATGATATTTCTTAGTTATCAATTGCTACTGTAGAGGCTTTCTTTGTTAAATACTTGTCATGTACTTGTTAGGTATTGGATAGGTAATGTTTGATGACCCAGCTTATGTATAGTCTTTTTTCTCCTTTATAGGAGAGAAGATGGACTAACTATAATTTTAAGAAAAGGAGCTTCTGTAATCAACCTTTTTAAAATAGACAGTTAGGCATATGGTCTCTTTAACTAGGGTTAGCCAAATTTATGTGATGCAGATTGCTAAATGATTGACTATATTTTCTTTTCTCTCTTTATTTGAAGTTATAGACGGTCAGTTATATAGATGTCAACACAAGTTTTTTAATCCCTTTTTTGTATAAATATGACTTGAACCCAGTACATGTTACTATAATTTTAGCCTTCATAAAAAAACTATTCTTTTCTTCAAAGCATACAAATCATATAGTTTGATTTGTAAACAATAACATTGCGCATTTCATGTATATTGAAACCATAAATTCAGATGAAGAAATTGCCATTTCTCATTCAATTCAAAACATCACATTACAATATAGCCAATGTGTTGTTAACAACAACTTCCTAATACAACACATCATGGACTTTTAAAACAAATACAAACAAGGATGATGTTAATGAAACCCCATAAGACATAGCATCCATATTAACATCTTCTCCCTTTTCTGACAACCCATAACAAATTTCTCCAGGCTATTAATCTTTCTTCTTTGTCTCGCAATAGTACTACCAGCATCATCTACATTATCTTCATTATGCCATTTAAAGTAATTTCATCCTTGAAGTTCTTCATTGCTTGTCATCTATTCAAATTATCCAACCATAAACAATTCATTAATCACCAAAATAATTTAACACAAAAATTAAACTACAAACCTTGTAATTAGGGCAGCCCCAAAATTGTTTCCCCTCGTTCTTCACTATTTTTGCCACTCTCAACACAACAACCTCCCCACAATGGCATATTTGGCTTCCAACGAATCCTCTGGATGAACCACCACGAGAGCTCCCCCATGAGCAAGACGAACAATCTTGATTCAAAGACATTGCCAGTTCAAACCCAACTTCAAAACGAGATAACGACGACCATGAACCACCAACAACGACCACGAACAACACCCACCACTGTACTGTGTTCGCAACTTTGTTCTTTGGCAGAAATCAAAATGTGTTGTGCCCTAACTCCATTTATCCCCAATTTGAATAACCCAATGTGTAGTATCCACCTCAACATCTAATTGCTTGTCACGTCACCACGAAGACAACATAAAAATGACATGTTACCACTATGTACTGCCATATCATCAGACCATCAACTCCGTTTCTTTTTTTTTTAACAGAAGGGACGATGTTGGCACAAAATTTTCTAATTAAGGACTAACTAGACACAATTTTTAAACCAGAGACCTAATTGACACAACCGAGCAAAACTAGGGACAAAAAAAACTATTAAACCTTTAATTAATAAATTAAACACAATTTTTCACTATAATTAAAAAAATAATTTTTTTAATATATTACTCATAGAACTAATTTTAGAGCAAGGATGAACAATTTTCACTCGTTCCACTGAAACTACTTTTTTTCCCGCTTCCTTTCTTGTTAAGAATATGATATATCCCCATACACCTTAGTTAGTTTTATTTATTTATCTCTCATTGCTTACTCTTTTGATTATTTCTTACAAATAAGAAAGAGGAAAGGGACAAATCATATGATACACATACACTGCTTCATTACAAGCCTTCTGACTTCCTCCATTCTTAAATGTGTCATACCTCCTCTTTCTCAAACAGTATGTTGCTACCAACTTTTCACCACTACAAAGCTCATTTTTCTTTCCTCAATTCACAAGTTCCCTCTAAATAAATCAATAAAATGTAAGAAGTTATATGAATTAAACTTAATTTTATTTTATTTTTTTCTACAAGACATGTTGGAAAATTTATGCGAATAAGGACTAGAAGAACACTCTCTCTTCTTGAATTGACGAAGAATAATGACATCAGTGAGCTAAATGATGACACTTAATCGTGCCCCAACCTACTTACAACACATTATGATATATAAGGTGGCTACTGATATTATATGAACATGGTTAGAACTAAGAATTTGAACAACATGGAAACTAAAGAATGTTTCAGAAGCGATTTCTGTTTCTCAGAGACACAGACAGACTGGTTGGTTCTGTGGGGAGGTAGCACATCGAAGGACACTGAGAAAGAGGTGTTCATCGCAGGGAATGCAGAGTTTTGAGTCAGCAATGAAATCGTACTCTTCCTGAGCTTGATCCAACAACGCCCTGAAGAGGGGATGATGGAGCAAACCAATCTTGATCACATATCTCTTGTGCTTCTCTCCCACATACACAACCAAGTGACCCTTTGGAACATCACTTGGAATATCTGAACAACCTTCATGCAAACAACACCACCAAGCCCGTTCACAGCATTCCTCACAAGATATGCACTTGTTCAGGCACATTTTCTTGCACTTGTTCAGACACCCTCTGAGAAATCTTGACTTCATAGTTTCCTGCAAGATGGAGAGGGAGAGAGAGAGAGAGAGAAAGAGATATATAGAGAGAGAGAGATGATTAAAAGTGCAGTGAGTGTTTGAGGTGGTAAGTGATAAGGTATATATAATTGTGGCATGGGAAGAACCAATGATCTGAAGCATTAAATGGTTGATATGATTGGTAGCCTATGCTATTTGCTACTAATATAATTATGGGGATCAACATTTATATTTATTCAACTGTACCACTTATTGATATATAGTTGCTGACTTTGTTGCTTACCAATGTATATACGAAACTGTACGAACATGCATGGCAATTCGCAATATATATATATATATATATATATATATATATATATGTGTGTGTGTGTGTGTGTGTGTATAATATGTGTGTATAAAATATGATCATATATATGGGTGATTAATTAACATGAATCTTAGGAAGTAAAGGTTCTGTCCTTCTCTGCAATTCTCGAAGGGGTGTTCTTAATCACAGTTGTTTCTTGCTTTCGAATTTCTAAGTGTTACATATGTAAGAGACCCCACAAAGATAAGATAAGTTTCTTGGACGAAGTGCGAGGCCACTTATTTCTTATACACAGGTATGGATAAAAGATACAGGCACTTTCTTTAGATTCAGAGAAAAGCTTCAACTTTTGGGAGTCGTAATCGTTGAAAACTTTTGTACTGTCAAGTATTTTTGTACTGTGGAGTGTTAAAAGACAACTGGTTCAGTGCCACAAAGTGGATCGTACATATAATATGATAATGTGATTGTGTACAAACTGGTGTTAATGGATTGAGATCTGCTCAGGAAGTGGAGCTACATGGTTATCAGCAATTCCAATGAGTTAATTTGTAATTAATCAGCCACTTTTTTTGGTGTATAATGCAGTAATGCTGGTGTCCCTTTCACTTTGTCAGTGGCTTTTTTCTTGTTCGGATGTGAATTTATTATTCCCTTTTGGATTGGTCTTAGCTCACTACTTATACATGTTGAATTATCTTAAATTAGTGTGCATGCTGGCTAAACCATTGTTTTTGTAAGGACTAGAGAGGATACCGTCCGTACAAAACATCGTATATGAAATTCCCTAGCAAGTAGCTACATTCTGCATATGGATTTGGGATAAGTCGCACTGTTCCCTCCATAGCTCGCAGAATTTCAGGAAATGGGCTACACATTGCAAAAGGGATGGAAGCAAATATCTTTGGTTGCAGAGAAGAGAATGGAAGTCACAGTTTTTAAACTCGAAACTCTGACATTGTGTAGATGTGACAATTTTGATTTGATTCCCTTCCCATGTTTCCTCATAATGGACCTTTGCAAAACTTAACCATGATATCAAATTTAGTTGGATTTTATCAGTGTAACAAAACCGTTATCAGTGTTTGCCTAAGAATTTCCATGTCTAACAAAATTTTCTGGTGAAGGGAAACCAATCACACAAATAATTTACTCCAATAATCAACTATATCAGCTATGAAAAGCTTGGAGTCGAAGACAGATAGAAAGTGTCCATATCTAAGTATCATTGAGTAGAGTTGAAAGAGTTATGTTATAAGACTTATAAATTTATTGCTTTAAGGATTTTGGTCCAAAATAATGAGTTCAACTTAGGTCTTATTAATGTTGTCTTTTTGTCCATAAACCTATGATTTAAGGTTTTGAATTAAAGGTAATTTAATTTATATGAATTAAACTGATCTTATTGATATTGTATTTCTAGCAAATCCTCTTACAAAGGTCCATCAAGGAGGAGTATTTTTGAGGTCCTTGTTTGCATTGGGAAATAATTGATGAATCTTAGGTAGAGGGAGAATTCTACAGTAGAAGAAGAAGACAGAGTTTGAGGTTGCCCTATTTTCATGGATCTGTTATCTTACACAGATGGTCAGAAAGATGATTGAGAGCCAGCACATTGATTCATCCCCTTTAAGACAAATGTCGGTTGTGCTTGGTTGGTTGAAAAGAATAGTACGTTCAGTTTCACACATGATTATTTTCAGAAAACTGCCAACAGTTTTCAAGATGAGACAAATGTTTAATGATTTAAAATACCAAATGCAGATACTGGTTAACAAATTATAACTCATTATTTTATTGCACGCCATAATAACATCACAATTTTAAAGAATTCAAATCCTTCAATTACGGGTCAGAGACTCTTCAATAGAAGCCCTTCAAGGATTTTTACAAGTGACCTTTCTTGAACCCATAAAAATTTGTTCTTTTGTAATGTCTAATACAGTATTCATAATTCAATAAAAATCTTCACCTTATCATTCAGTATGTACTTGAAATTCCATTCATTTCATTTGGTATTAAAATGCAATAAAATTCCTTCTGCATCATTTGATCTCGCTGTCACATGTCCAAACTCTGATATAGACCAACCTCTAATCATGCAGCAGGCAGAGGGCAGTCAAAATCATAGTTACAGAATTTTTAGTCTGTTTGCTTACACATATGAGACCTGTTTTCTCACGTCCAAAAATAAGCTAAAAGTCTTAACCGACGTGGTTGCTCAAGTGACATATATCTAAACAAACACTTTTAAATGTAAGTGATAAATTTAACCGGTTTTTCAAAAAATCACAGCAGCTCAATAATCCTGTACCCAATCTTGAATTCAACGTACCAATACCAGATTTTTTTAAGAAAGTTTTGTAATAATATAAAAATGATGAATCACGTACATACACGAACCGGGTATCCGTATCTATACCATGTACCTGCTAACTATAGTCAAAATGAATAGAGACTCGTTGGGCAACGAACACAAACAAGCACTCTTTTTCATAACAATTTCCAAAGTCGCAAAATCATATCTGTTCCTGATTGTAAAGAGTCACATGGCTCATAAATTAAGTTCAAACATAGTTTATACATGTATTTATGATCAAAATTGTAAAACTCAGACTAACATCAAAAGGATGTCTTAACTGATGTCATGTGATCAAAATATTTATCAAAGAAGAACATGGGAATCACACCGTTTAACTCCTTAGCCTTGACAAAAAGGTTGACTTGCAGTTGAAATACCATATCTGAAAAGAGAATCTAAGTAACATCATCTGATAGGCTTTATGTCTTTAAAAACTAACTTATATTCATATTGATTAATATACTATAAATTGATTTTATTTCTAAGATTTTCATGGATATGTGCGTTGCAAGTGCAGATACAGAAAAGGTTATGCTAGATAAGGTTCGCTTGAGGGAGCAAGGAAAAGACGTGGTGCACATGAGGTTTGGTCCACGGTGCTCACTGGTGGGTGAGGGTGTTATGTGCCATAACTCTCGAAAGAGGAAATGGTTGCTGACACCTCAAGACTCAAGGAACTACCACACTCTATGGTTCGCAGTCATTTTATGCATCTAAATTATTTGATTAGACACGCTTTGTTTGCTTCCCTTTCACGTGCATTCCTCTGTTTTTTTGAGCTGTCACATTATCATTTTGTTCCCACTTCTCCCTAACTGTCCCATTTCCTCATCTCTTTATTTAACACCTATCCATGCTTCCTTCTGGGAAGCAAACTCCTCTTCTTTCTTATTTTGGAACTTGTTCTACGCGTCAACTAAAAAAATCGTACTTTAGCGTCGGTAGAGTACTGATTTCAGAACCTGATTTTATATCATGTGACAGCTGAACACAAAAGTGCATTCTGAGTTTTCATCTCATGGGTCTCTTAAATATATGATGCTCTCGTCGAGAATTTTGTTTTACATGATGCAAAATCTAACTGATGATGAAAGTTTGATCTTTGCATGTCGCAGTATTAATGGGTTTGAAAAGATACATGTTAGAATAAAGATTATTTAGATAAAAATATCTTCAGGAAACATTTTCCTAGAATCTACTTTTTCATTTTGATTTCATTTTTTAGTGTGATTGTTATAAACAAAAGTAGTTGAAAATATAATTATCATAATTTTAATTAATACTCTTTCCAAGTATACAGTCCCCTTTTTTCCTTAGAATGAAGAAAGCATATTGGTGCTACGATGGATTGGTAAACCTTTGCATAAGTAAAAAGTCTGTTCTCAGCAAAAGTAAACTTCATTCCATGTTTAATAAAAAAAATCATCAGATTTATACTATTATGACACGAGACACCACGAGGAAAGAAAGGAGATAGAAGTGTATTATAACATAGATAACGTGATGAAAAGACATGGCAGATTGTGAAAAATATTATAAAAGATAGGTAATGAATAGTATACCAGTAGAAAGCACAAGCACTAAAATACTGCAAGAGGAAGGCCACAGCTTAGTTTATCACAATCATGATGAGTCAGACGTTGAAAATCAAGGGCCATAGGATAGGGCAATGAGTCATCATCCCGAGATGCTTCCAGCTCTACTCCCCAAATAAAGATATAATATCCTTTTAAAAATAGTGACTGTAGAATGTCGAGAAACTTTTATTTGTAATGCATTATCAATTATCAATTATCAACTCCCTTCACCCACCCAACCATTCATTTGCAACATTGAGTCAGACGCAACTCTAAACACATTAGTCAGGCATAAAGACCAGGTTCTAGCACACTAAGAAAATCACAGAACTGAAGCGGTTAGAGATGTATGCATCATCCCAATCTATTGTAGGATCACAAATGATTTCTTCATGTTTACAATTCAAAATTTCTATGCCTTTGTAGATACACATGCAGGAATTTCTTGACAGTATAAAATTGTGCAAATATGATACCTAATTTCAACAACATCCTTTGGACTATAGATTTCCCTGGACTGTTTTACACATGGACTTCTTCTAAGTAAACTTTCTACGTACATTTCTTTTGCTAAGACTAACGGGAGGAGAATCTGCGACGACAGAGGGACCAGCTTGGCTAACACGTAACTTCTTTGACCCACGTTGCCTTGGGTATGGGTGAATTTTAGCCAATTCTCGCACACGGTGTACCACATTAAATGGTAAGGGACGCAGGGCTAACTCGTCATTTTGCTCAACCTGTAATCACCACATGACCATTTACATTATTAACTAGTCCCATTCTCTCCAAACTAAATCTTGTCAGGGATAGCATATTAAAAAACTACTTTGGTACACCAATTTAAGTTTCTGAGACATGCATATGAAACATCAATGAATAACGTTCCAAAAAGGAAAAAAAGAAAGTTAACCTCTTTCTTGTTTTTCTGCACAGAACTGGCTCTCAAAAGGTTTCGCCACTTGTCCTGCAGAATTCACTTTTAGAAAACAGGTTTGGAAGAATGTGAAATTGAACGAGTAAAGCTTTGTGAAGTACCCTGAGATCTATGGGAGTTCTGTAGCTTGAAGAAGAAAACAAAAACTTCTTAATATCAGTCCAACGACCAACTCCATATTCAGATATGCCTTCAACCAACTTCAACACTTCAGGGAGAGTCCACATCTTCTGATGCTTTCTTCTATCTTTTCTTCTAGACCTTTTTGTGGTTGAACATCCATCCTCAGATTCCGAGGGAAATGATTCATACTCATACTGAAGTTTCTAGAAAAGAAGTACGCTTGTTAAATGCATGAGAACAAGAGGCTATATCAATCTGCAGTAATTGTCTCACAAATTTACAAATTTCCCACTAACACAAGGGTATCTTAATTTCAGATGACAAATACTAAATCTCAACCATAGGAACAATTCTGCTACCAAAGCCCGGTTAACAGTTATGGGCCTTAATAACAACATCAATAAAAAATACATGAATACCATGATTTGGTATATATATATATATATATATATATATATATATATATATATATATATATATATATATATATATATATATATATATATATATAAATATAGAGAACCATAAAGACCATGCTGTAGGCTATAAATTATCAATGTACATGAAATCAAGCATCACTCTCTTAGAGCCAAGAAAAGAGGGAAGCATGACGAAGCACTTTCATATCATTAGCACACATGTTGAACTAAACATCACACTTCAATAAATTAAGAGTCAGAGGTCTATTTCTCAAATGATACAATTTGAGAGCATAAACAGGTCATATAATAATCTAACATTGATAGTCAAAATCAATAATAATTATCCAAAACCAGATGGTAAATGAAACAGATCCTAAAGAAATACATTCCATTCATAATGATACAATTAATACCAAAGAAAGAATCTGTCTCTCAACCCAAGGGCATGTTATATCCTCGTCTACTAAAGAAAATATACAAAAAGGGATACAATGCCCTTAATGAAAACAGTACCTCTTTCTTCTGATGCCCTTTGCTAACTTGCAACTCAGGAAGCATCACCTCACTATTTTCATTACTAGACTTCTCGCTTGGACTCCTTTTCGATGATTTAATTCTTATATGAAGTACATTACATGATGAGTTACTCGAATGTTTAGTTTTTGTACCAGCAGGTGGTACCTTTTCCTTTGACCTCGCATTTGAAAATTCTTCAATATACCTTTGCGTAGGCTTCCGGAACCTTTTCTCTCTAAGTGCAGCAGGTTGGCCTTTCTCGACAGGACCCTTGTCCTTCTTACAAGTCAGTATACCACCAGCTAAATGACGATAGTTATCCAACTCTTGCAGATGCTGTATATCAAGTGAAATGTTGTACCTGCAATTTCCTTGTGATGGTTGACTAGGATTGTTGCTGAAGGCACCATGTGATTCATAGGTTACTGTCTCATCCAGAGAATCATTTTTGCTTTCAGAGTGTGCAATAGGTACTTCTGTTGATTCTAAAACCCCACCAACAATGCTACTTCTACTTAATCCTGACGAATGACTTTCCGAACCTTCAAAAGGACCAGAACCCAGTACCTCCTCAAATTTGTCAGCAAATCCAAAATCTGTAGATTGCAAATGAGAAAAACATAAAGAAGTGTTAAAAAAGGAAGCAAACACGGATTTTTTTTTTCTTCCTTTCTATCGAAACACTAGCAGAAGAATACATCTTAATAGTTGTCAAATATCATCAACAGTTAAAGTTAGGCAAGCTGAAAACACACCAATAGTTTCATATTACATCTCTAAGAAATTCAATCAAGGAAGGATCTTTTGGGTTTAAAGCAAAAAAAATATGCGGGCTCACAATCAACGTTTTTTATTGGAGAATAGCAGCAATGGATCAATTTCGACCTTGATCATTTAGTCATAAAGACTGCCGTACAGGAGGATAAATATATGCACAGACAGTATACAACAGTGTTTCAGTGTCATCCAATCACAAATTACCAGGTATGATAAGTTTGTTGGCTTTTAGAATAAGTACCTTAAAAGTCATACCAACATGATTTGTAACTGAATGACAGTGTATACTATTTTACACAATTCATCATATAATGTCATGAACCAATTATTTCAAAAGCATAATTCTTAAGGGGAATACAAAAGAATTATTGTGTTACATCTCTAAGAACAGTTAATATTTTACCAAAAAAATATTCTTCACATGCACCCGGGAAACCATCAGCTCCTTCAAGATCATCAATTTCCACATCATCTAGCAATCCATCAAGTACCTCAAAAAATTAAAGATAATGTTCATATCAATAAAACAAGAACATAAGCAATTTAGCAGTTAAGTAACTAGCTAGTAACGTTATGCAATTTGAATTGACGTTAAACAAGGTGATATAGTTATGCAATTTGAATTGACGTTAAACAAAGTGATATACTTATGTAATTTGAATTGACGTTAAACAAGGTGATATATAAACCTGAGATGACAGACGCAGGAAGTCAAAAAAATCAATAACAAGCACCGTAAATATAAAAAATCTATGAATTGCTAGCTTCAATATTACCCCAACAACAACTGAGAGATTGAAGACAAATACCTCCAGTTCCAAATCATCCTTGCTGTTCAAAGTTGTATGAGAATTCAAGCTACCTGATGAAAGTAAACACACTACTACTATTAGATATATTGCCCCAATAAAAAGTTTGAAAGAAAAAGTTATTGTTATGCTCTGAATATAAGACAGTCAATACACAGCTTTATCAACCATTAAATTTATCTAATTGAGCCAAGTGGACTAAGAGAAACCCCTGACAAAGCTAAAAAAAGGTTCCAATCAATGGTGACGTCTCAAGTATAAAATGTTTGGTTTCCTTACAATGCAACATCAATTCTAAGCTTCTAAGCAGCCTCTTATACAAAGTTCTTATACAGCTTGTTTCTCGTTTCATTCTCCATTCTTTCACCACATCATTTTACTTCATTTATTCCAGTTTTTCAGGAACAACATGCAAACCCAGAATAATAGCTTCTTACCAGTTGTCAGTGTAAATGTCATTTTGGATTTCAAGCAATAGAATCAGAAAGAACAGCTTTAATTCATTTAAGAGTAACTGCTAATTGATTTAAAACCAAATTCAAATCCAGAGGAAATATTTTCAGCAAAATGGCATTTCCCCATACTCTACTCATTAAAATGGAATATACCATCCTGGGGAGCAAGATTGTTTCTAGGTTCTGCAAGCAAATGCTCAACTTCCATTACTCCATCTTGAAGAGCAGGTACATATGATTCATCCACCTGAACCTAGGGAAAATTAAAACAGAGATAACACAAGTAATACGTTTTAGGCAAACCACATTGCTACTTTGTTTATTTAAATAGTAGAGAGAATTATGAAACAACGAAGTAAATCCAAGAACGCATTCACAGAGAAATAGCCTTAAAAATTCTTCTGTCGAAATATTAAGCTTGCAAGGACCAAATATATGGTAGACCAAGAGAACCTTCCAATCAAAGGTTCAGTTGACTTACACTTACTAAGAAAAATGCAATCTATTCTTCAAAGAAAACAAAGTTGAACTGTTTGAGAAAACAACCAATCAGTAATAACAAGATAAAAATAATAATACATTTATCACCTTCAACACTAAGTAGGAAAATGATAAAAATATTTATCACCTTATTACAAACTCTTGTTATCACTATCAATGTAAAGTTTTTTCACATCCCAATCAACCATTTATTGTCAATTAATCAAAATATTTATGACCGGCACAATAACTAGCTATAAGGTTAAATTCTTTTTGATGATATTGAGTTCAACACATCATATGGTAATAAAAGAAAAAACTTTGCACTCCTATAGATTTTCTCAGCTAATCATTTTGGATGGAAGGATTGTGCTTCATCCTCATATCTATATTGCTGTTAGAATAGTTTAATTTATCTTCTGACCAACTTTGGAAAAGCTAAATTGTTTTTTTTTTTTTTACTGATTTGTATTATCTAAAGTAATTTAACACTAGGAGCTAGGTGTCAAAGTATTTCCAACCATGAAATATAATTAGAACAATTACAATCATGATCTGAAATATTTAATTAGGTGCAACAAATACGAGATAATCAAATACACTAAATAGATACTTTTTTAGATGCTACAAAATGCAGAAAAATGCAATTGGAGAAATAACATGATAGATTGAACTCAATATTTGTGATTAAAACATGACCAGAATCCTTACTCTTTGGCATTTCATATTGGAACACTTCCGCAAATAGTCTTCACGATCCATCTCATGTTGTGTTGAATAGCATCCTACAATTTTAACATACATACGATTAATCATTTTATTCTCATTTATATCCACATATATAAATATATTCACACACACATTCTTATGAAGAGAAGAACAAAAGCATATATAATATAACATTTATGTATGTGACTTGTGTAATAAGCACCCAAGTACTTGGGGAAGTCACCATCAAAAAAGAGATATTAAAGAGGCAGAACCAAACATTTAAATATTTCACCAAACAATCCATACTACTCGATGTAAGCCTTAAGCACCTCATCCTGCCCACGTCTCTACCAGTGTACATTGTCACTAACGCAAGATCTTCACTCGTAAACTATACATACATATATTGAAAAGACAAATTTCAGGTACAGTAGCATAGGTGCTTTTAGCATTGTTCTGCAATAAAAATTGAAGTTTTACCTCAGTAAATTGCAAAATAAAGATCAGTACACGTTAACATGATAAAACCAGTTTTAATTGGAAAATAACACTAAAAGCACCAATCGTCCTACAACTATGTTTTTCCCATGTTGAAATTGTAAGACTACAACAAGGAAAGAACAACCACTATGTCAACACTGCAACTATTTATGTAAACATAAATCAAAGAAAAACGAAAAATGATATTCATCCATCAATATAAGTGTTTGGATGCACGTGTAGGTTGAAAGCAAGGAATCATTTGTCTGTTGGTGACAATACTTTATGTGTACTAATTTCATAGACAATGCATTTACGCAGAAAATATTATGCATAAGCAATATTGTGAACTCATTCATTCCAAATAAAAGTGCCTATGACCAAAAGGATACATATATGCCCAACCAAACAAAAAGTTCATCATTTTCCATCAGTAAGAATTCCCAAAAGTCCAGCATTGATTGTCCACTAACAACTTCCATAACTCAGATTATTCAAATTTTTAGTCATTGTTCTTGTATCAGTATATAACAAATAAAAACCAATGGTTTCAAACGCATGATTGTCAAAATTTAAAATAAATTCTTGCACAAGGCGGAGAAGAGAAAACAAGTGGGAGGCCATATGTCTCTCTTAAGAGAGAAACAGAACAAATAAAATCTATAAACAAAACACAAGACTACAAAGCCCTCCCATCGTATATATATCCTCTAGATAACTAAAAGGCCTAGAACATACCGAGGCTACAAAAACACTCCCACTGATACAAAGCTCATTGAAAATCCATACATTTCTAAATTCACAAGAACCAAACCACAGCCAGAAAACCAGAACCACACCAACCACAAAATATTCCCTCTCTTTGTCCAATCATAAATTTTTTTACCTTTAAACCACACAATCACACACTCAACCACAGTAACCAAAATTACGTCCACGATTGCTGCTCATCCTAAATTATATCAATACCAGTGAACAATTATATTTAATTACATACAAAGAAAAAAAAAAGCATCCCTAAACGTCGTCAGACGATGTAACAATATGAAAAGCAATCCTAATACAGATAGTTAATAATTACGAAGACAACTCATATCGCCGTGAAGCTGTCAATTAACAGCATTATGTAAAGCACAGATTAAAACACGCTATAACTATTTAAGTCTTTTACAATTAAATAAATAAAGCGTAAAAATATAGCAGTTCCGATTAAAAGCTAAAAGATATAAATAAAAAACGCAATCCAACTATTTCGCCCGTAATTTTCTGCTTCATTTTATCGGCAAAATCGAGCTACTTAAGACAACAAGTTTCATCGAGAAATTAGAAACGAAGAAATGAACTATGCAAAATGAAAACCCCAACCTCGCTCATTCATCGGCCAAAGCAATCCCGAACTAGCCTATCCCTAACCTTGGCAATCAGAGAGTGAAAACAGAATTAAATTAAAATAAGAAGAATTAAAAACGAACCCAGAAAACACTAAGATCTAAATACAGAAGAAAGTAGAGAGAAAAGTAGCGAGGACTATGTCGAAGATCGAACCTCGAAGTGTTGAATTGAAGAGAGAGAGATGGAGAGTGAGAGTTAGAGAGAAATTCGAGCGAATGTTCGAAACCGAAAAAAGCTAAAACCGCCAAAAAGCGACACGAAACGGAGTGATGGGAGGTGCGCTGTTTTTATTCGACGGCATCCCAAAGTTTTTTTTTCTTAATTTTGTATTTTATTTTTTTCCGACGCGGGTTGTCATCCAAATTGTGCGTTCCGAGTTTGCTCAGACCAGACACGTGTGCCACATTCATTGGTTCTGTTTGTGGTCGCTTTCTTACTCCTGACGCTGTCACATCTTAACGCTGTCAGAAAACCCGTTACTCTCCCACTTGCTTTTACTCTTTGCTTTACCACAGCGTCGACCAGGACGTCGTTTTGGTTCCGTCCATCCATCACTCGAAGCTACTACTCAACTGAACTCACTCATCCGTCCCTCGCGTTTTTCTCGTGTAATTCTGTATTAGCTGTACACGATTTTTTTTAAATTTAATTTTTTATTTGGATTGCCGGTTTTTATAGCAGATGACGTTATTTTAGTAAAAACGAGGTTGTGCTAAATATTTTATTTTATATTTCAAAGGTTTAATAATTTGTTTTTTTTTAAATCTTAAATAGGTTTTTTAGTTTTTTTTTTTTAATTGGATCTTGACTTTTGTTAGCTCTATAGTTAAATTGGGTTAATATCAGGATGTTACGTAAACGTGATTCTAAAATTATTTACTTAATTTAATGATAGATATTCAATTGGAACAAATTGACAAAAAAAACTAAAACATCTATTTAAGATTTCTAAAAAAAAACTTAGACGAATGATTAAACCTATTTCAAAATAATTATAAGTTTCTAACATAATTTAAAAAGTTTTGAACATTCATTTACTCGTAATTACATCATCTAATTACAAATTATTGTTGATTTGATTTTTAAATAATTATTATGCAAATTAACCAATTAATTATAGAAAGTATCTTTTATTAAATGTATGTATGGGTTTTAATAACATCTTAAGTTATATATCTACACATAGTCAGGATACGTAGAAATTTTCTCAGAGGCTTTGAAAAGTCTAAAATAAACTAAAAAATGAGATCTTTTATTTAATTGTTTTTTAGTTTTTTATGTAAAAATATTAATTAAATTATCATAATTAATTTCATTTAACTTTTATATTGTCTTTAATTTCAACCTATATTTATTATCATTTATTTCATTAAAAATTTTATCTTCATTGGTCACCAAAAGGCTAACATGGTTAATAGCAACAATTTCAATTTCATCCAAATATATACAGAAATTATTTTGAAACCCATACATCGAAAAGTACCTAATAACAAAATCGAACAAAAGAAACGTATTTTTAAACATAATACAAATTCAACAAATATAATAAAAACAATAACATAATAGGAAAAAAAACATTAAAAAAATGAGAATGAAAAGATTGATATGCATAAACAACATAAGATTTCAGGAATGAAATCTGCCCAAACCCTTAAAAGAAGAATTTTGAAATATAAAATTGAGAAGTAATAGAGATAAAAGAAGAAAATAAAAATCAAAATTGATTATAAAAGAATAAAAATAATTAAATATCATGTTTAATACCAATGAAAATTAACAGATAATATAATAATATAATTAAATTTAATTGTCAAATATAATTTTATAACTAATTTAACAGAGACATATTAATACTAAAGAAATTATTTTGAGACTTTTTTTTTTAAACATGATTTTATAATTAATTTAATAAAAGAAACTAGGTACTAAAAGAATTTAAGACTTTCTTATCAGAGGTCTAAAGCGAGTGTTTTAGTTGCTTCACTCGGTCTAGCTCACCACCTTATATTTTATGTGACTTAGATCATTAGTGAAGCAACGAGATCTTTGTTCATATATATGTGTTTCGGTATAAATGTTTTTTGGTGTGTCTTTTTTGTTTCTAAATGTCTAGAACGCTCGCTTTTCCTCAATTGTCGTCGTTCGCGCTCCTTCAGCTCGTAACGCTCGTCTACTTTCACCAACGGAGGGGGGATGTACCTGTGAAGATACTCTGACGCTCAAGTCAGACGTGAGTTATGGAGCCTCAGCTCTCAAGAAAGTTATTATATTATCATTGTAGAATATTATCTAGAGTCCATCTGGAGTAAGTGGAACATACCTGGTTTTTGACTCTGTCATTGTATTTATAAATGTAAAATAAAAACAACCTTACTTGTATTAGATTTTGAGGGCAGAAACGTAAAACACCAGAAAGATGCACTTTACTCTTTTAAGAGTAATATCCACGTGCGAGAGAGAGAAAACAGAAACAGAGAGAATGAGAGGGAAATGTAAGAGAGAGGGGCTCTGCTAGGGCTTCGACCCTTCTCCACCAGGCACCACCTCCACACGCCGGAACACTCACCGGAGCGCACACACACACACCAGAGAAAAGTTTTGTAGCAGAGAGAGAGTCACACACAAAGGTACTGAATATACTTCTAAATTTCATTAACCACAAATAGAGTAGATTTACAGCTTTTATACAAGTGAAATAATGAAATCTGTTTTGTTTATTCTAACACTCCTCCTAAACAAACATGATTTTGAAGAAACAAAGAACATTTCACCGATCAAAACTGTAAAACATAGTATATGATGAACCTAAGCGTTTTCCACCGATTAATAATCGGTACAAATGCTTCCTTTGTACTCGGAAACGATTTTTACCGATTAAACTCGTGAAAACACTTTCCTCCAAACGAATCTGCTTCCAGAGATGAAAACCCTAGGTTTTCGTAGCTCTGTTCTGTAGATCTGCCTTGATCTCCACCTTCTTTACTCCGATCTGCTTTCTAAGTATTAGAAAGCGTTCTCCTTTCAGTGCCTTAGTGAGTAGGTCTTCAATCTGATCCTCGGATCTGCAATATACAACTTCGAGCTTCCCTTTACTAACTTGTTCCCTGATGTAGTGGAAACGAGTTTCAATATGCTTTCTCCTGCCATGCGATGCAGGATGTTTGGTCAGTTCTATGGCTGACTTGTTGTCCACAAGCAGTCTGACCTTCCCTTCCACTTCAATCTTCAATTCACTCATTAAGGAACTTAGCCAAGCTGCCTGACAAGTAGCTTCACAGGCTGCAATATATTCAGTCTCACATGAGGAAAGAGCTACTACTGGTTCTTTTATAGAGCTCCAGGAGATTGGTGCTCCATTCAAGAAAAATACATATCCTGCAGTGCTCTTCCTATCACTTTTATCCCCACACCAATCTGAGTCTGAGTAAGCATTAATTCTTACCTCTCCTTCTGATTCTCCTCCTGGCAATAGAATCCCAAAATTATGTGTACCTTTTAGATATCTCAGAATCCGTTTAATGGCCATCAGATGAGATATTCTAGGATTCTGCATATATCTACTAACCAGACCCACACTGTAACTGATATTTGGCCTAGTGTTGCACAAGTATCTTAGGCTTCCAACCATTTTCCTATATTCAGTAGGATCAACCCCTTCCTCTTCAGGATCCTTCTCAAGTTTCAATCCCACTTCTGCTGGTGTGTTTGCAGAATTACAATGAATCATGTTAAACTTGTTTAACATATCCAATGTATACCTGGACTGATGCATCATCAATCCCTCATCAGTTTTAGTGAATTCAATTCCAAGAAAGTAGTTTAGTTGCCCCAAATCACTCTTTTCAAATTCCTGTAACATTTGGAATTTGAAATTAGTAATTCTCTCAACACTACTTCCTGTGATTAGCATGTCATCAACATACAAGCACACTATTAACATCTCTCTTCTTTCACTGTGCTGATAACACTGAACATACACTCCATGTTCAGAAGCACACTTCTCAAGGCCAATGTTGTTCATGACTGCATCTATTCTCTAGTTCCAAGCCCTTGGAGCTGCTAAGCCCATACAAGGCCTTCTTCAATCTGTATACTTTTGGTCAGGATGCTTCTTGACTTCAATCCTGCGGTTTGAACCACATACACTTCTTCTTCTAAATTACCATTTAGAAATGCAGATTTTACATCTAATTGATGTAAGGTCCAGTTTAGTTTTGTAGCCATAGAAACCACCAGTCTAATTGTTTCCATTCTAGCTACTGGTGCAAACACTTCTCCATAGTCTATTCCTGCCTGCTGTAAGAAATCCTTTTGCCACTAGTCTAGCTTGTACCTTGTCACCACACCTTGTGGATTTATTTGGACTTATAAATCCACTTAAGTGCAATTGGTTTCTTATTGGGAGGCAATCAGTTAATTCCCAGGTCTGGTTCTTCTCAATTGAACCCAATTCTTCTAGCATAGCCTTGTACCACCTTTTATCTTTCACAGCTTGTTCAAACTCCACTGCGTTCGGCTTCAGCTATCAAGGGCATAATGACAAAGATTTCCTTCTGCTGAAACTGTTGCATCATAGGCTAGATCAAATCTCTCAGATATGCTGGTAGTTGAGTCATTCTAGATGACCTTCTTATATTCTCCTCCCTCCTGACTGCCTCGGGTTCTGCTGGAACTTCATCTTCCAACTCAATAGTGTCCTCCATCTTCTTTTTGACTCCCACTGCCATGTCCCAGTCTCATCAATTACCACATCTTGCTGATAGGAGCTGTTCCTGTTGTAGGTTATACAGCTTATAACCTCCTATAACATGGTATCCCACCAATATCAAGGGAACTCCTCTATCATCCAGTCTTCTCAGGTTGTTCTGGCACATTGCTTATAACATAGGGAACCAAAAATTTTCAGAGTGCTTTCATCTGGTTTAAACCCTGTCCAGCTCCTCTTTGTTGTAACTCATTTAACTCTTTGTTGGAGATAAATCAGGATATAGGTGGCTGTCATCCACAGCCTCACCCCATAGAAATTAGGCAACTCTTGCTCTTCAAACTGCATCTCACCATGTTTTAAAATAGTTCTGTTCTTCCTCTCTATAGCCCCATTGTGTTGAGGTGGTAGGGAGGAGTCACTTCATGAACTATTCCCTCTCTTTCAATAATTTCTGAATTCAGTGGAGGTATACTCTCCTCCTCCATCTGTTCTCAGAATTTTTAAATTCTTTCACATTGCCTTTCAACCATACTCTTAAATTTTTGAACTGCTTCCACAACTTCTCTTTCTTTTCAATAGGTAAACCCAACTGGTTTAAACGTGTTTTTCGTCGCACAAAAAAACGAACAAA